ACAGCACCTGAGCGCAAACCTCACACATAGCGCTGGCTGCGAACGCACACGCTTCCTGGAAGCCCTATCATCACATGTGCCTGTGAGCTCTGCAGCCCGGCTCTGTGTGTGTGTTAGTCACACAGAAAATATGTTTTATTGGAATGTTTTGATCTAGAGATCACAGTATGTGTGTGTGGGAGAGAAGATGTTGGGAATGGACTAGCTTTCTTATTGAATACAGCACAATAGACACTACTCCTTGTATTTTATATATAGAAATTACTATGAGGCCTACTATTTTTCTATTAAAATCTTAAGTAAAACAGTAGCCTTTCCTAGAATGGAATGCTAGCTTACTACCTCAGCATAGTATGCATTGTATATGGCATATTAATATCTTTTTTTTAAATATAATAATCAAGAAAGGCTGTGTCCCACTTGATGTGCACTTGAAGGCTGCGTTCCATTCTGAAGGCCTCATCCCTATGCACTAAGCCCTTCAAAGGATTTAGCTTAGAACGGATGAGGGGGGTAGGGGACCAAAAAACTGTTCCATGGAATGCACTTCTGTCATCTTGCATCATCTGCGCCACAAATTAAACCTGCGAAAAGAATCACGGGAGTGAAAAGTGTCCATCAGTTGTACCCTTCAAAATCCTTCATTCTGAAGGGCCCTTTAGAGTGACCAGTTTCAGCACTTCGGTTTGGAACGACCCTGCAATATGGTGGGGGTGGATAAGGTGGATTTATTCTGTTTTGAATGCAGTAATAGTAAAAGTAGATAGATAACACAAAAATGAATTTCATCATCTTTACTCACCCTCATGTTGTTCCAAACCTGTATGATTTTCTTTCTTCCGTTGAAGATACAAAAGAAGATATTTTGAAGGATGTTGGTAAACAAACAGTTACTGGTAACCATAGTAGGTTTTTTTCCCCATACTATGTAAGTTAATGGCTACCAGCTGCTGTTTGATTACAAACATTCTTCAAAATATCTTCTTTTGTGTTCAACGGGGAAATGTATTTATTTTATTTTTTTTACAGATTTGGGACAACTTGAGGGTGAGTAAATGATGTCAGAATTTTCATTTTTGGTGAACTATCCTTTAAGCTGAAGGTATACTTCCCTTGTCCACATTCCGCTCTGGCTCGTGAAAAGTCTGTGTGACATATTTTTTGTTAGGTATTGCTTGAGCACCAAACAAGTCTATCTGCGATCACAGCCAATAGAGTATACTTTGAAGGGCTTGCACATTAAAGACCCGAGTATACTTCATTTTCCACATTCTGCATAATCTAGCGAACAATTGAGCATGCAAGCTCTTCAAAGACCTTGTCCCAAATGGCACACTTCATGTGCACTTGTGCTCTTGTGGACTTACTGTACATTGGCTGCCACATGCACTTGTCCATTAAGTCCACAGTCATTTTAGGTTAATGTGCTAAAATTGCAAAGCTATACGCTTTCGAAGCACACTTCTGCTGAGTCGAACTCCGCAGCAAACTTCTACCCAACAAAGCGGCATTGCATTACACCATGAAAGTGTGGACTCGAAGGAAGACCACAAAGACTTAGTGTTCCATTTGGGACAGGGCCAGAGTGTACTCTATTGATCGTAATCGTGGATGGACGCATTCATTGCATACGCACTATCTAGTGGACCTTTTGTTTTTGTGCACACAAATCAGTCTCATATGCTTTATTGTCTGCAACATTAGTGGACTGTTCTGACGAAAAGTCACAAATGACTGGACAAGGGTAGCATACTTTTGGATTTAGGGTAGCATTTGGGATAAGGCCAATGTGATGTAAAAAAAAAAAAATATATATATATATATATATATATATCTGGTTCAAGCATCACACTGCAAATGTGCAAATGGAAGATGAAGTCAAGCACATTGCATTGTGGGATATAGTATGACCTTTAAAAATATATTTTACACTTTTGCATTCAATGTTGTGTAAAAACATGTCAGCTAAATTGAATATTAGAAATAACTTACAGTTAATTCATCACACTGGAAATGGAAGGTCAAATTGAGTGCACTGGAATGTAGGATACAGTCTTCCATGCAGTGTAGTAGGCTACATCATCCGGAGATCCCATACACAGAAAATGTGAATATCGTGCACAGCATACCTATTATATACTGCATAAATAGTAAAGAGCAGGATATTAGTATGTTGCACATGTTGCAATGTAGTACATCATCCAAGTATTGCACATTTTGCATACTACTGCACTCTACAGAGACAGTAAGAGCAGTATGTTAGCATGCGATTCCGAACATATCAATCCGTGCCAACGCAGAGGCGGACAAAGTACACAACTCCATTACTTAAGTGAAAGTACAGATACTGCTGGTCAAATATTACTCCATTACAAGTAAAAGTTGTAAAGACAGATTTTTTTACTTAAGTAAAAGTACAGAAGTGCTTGCTTTTAAAAGTACTTAAGTACCAAAAGTAAATTTCCTTTTTTATGTCAATGCACTGTTTTATTATTGTTGTAATACTTGCAATACCTCTGAAGCAATTTAACAAAAGCAAACAATATTGTTACTAATATAAACCACATTATCTTCTTATTATTGAATTGTTGTAAATAAATATCACATTTGGAACTGGTCAGTGCTAAAAAAAAGCTGGGAAATCACTTCATGTAGCCCCAAGAGTGATAACTGATAAACTGTCTGATAAAAGAAAGTCACGTTTTAGACAAGAAAAAAATCACCCACTGACTTTCAAAGCTGCTAACGACTTTCTACTTCGAGGATCTTGATAGAAATGTACTGGAGTGAAAAGTACAATATTTGTCTTTCAAATGTAGTGAAGTTAAAGTCATAAGTTTCCAGAAAAAATAATACTCAAGTAAAGTACAGATACTCAAAAAGTGTACTTAAGTACAATACTCAAGTAAATGTACTTAGTTACTGTCCGCCTCTAGGCGGTGATCTTCAGCCTCTGTGCAATGTGATGTTGAACCTTCCTGCGTGACACAATCCGGTCACGCATGTGCACACACTCTCACTCCTCATGTATGCTTACAACCTGCATCTGCCTACACACACACTGAAGCATCAACAGCTGAGCCGGAGCCAGAGGAGAGGAGGCAGCTCACAGTCAGAGCACATTTGACTCAAACGCAGCTCACTGCAGCACATGTGCACTAGGGAATTAATAGGACAGGTGGGCCGACATATTCCACTATAACTGACTATAATCAGACAGCAGATATTGCATGATCAAAACATTCAAGACAAGTTTAAGATACTTAAGGGTTTAAAGGTGAACAGGATGTATAAATGAATACAGTGACACTTACATATCTCAGCATACACCATATGAAATCGTGTTGCAGTTATGACATTACATTTGCAGTGTGATGAAGAGATTAGGTTTTTAATACTGATTTTTCAAAAGTGGACTTCTTTTTAAAACGATAACTAAACAGGTGATGAGGTCATGTGACAACAACATAGCATATTATTATCGTTATGAAAAATGTGTATAATGCCTACTGGGTCACAAAATTAAAAAAAAAAAAAAAAATTAAAATAACAAAATAACAAAAGTGTATACTGCACTGTATTCAATAAAAAGTAAGCCAGAATTCAATTCTGAACACAGCCAAAGTTTTAAACCCACCACAGTCTCACATTTTTACATATTCTTCAGGAATTTGACATATTAAATTGTCTCTGCACAGAATACAGAATTTTAACATTAAAAATAAATTAAAAATCTCAGTTCACCCTTGAGAACCTCATACTCTATGAGAAGGAAGTTCCTCTTAAGGTATTCAAAGTATGATTTCAATTCAGAAAGCAAAACAAACTTCAAACATCAGGAGGCGTCATTTTCTTCCAGTTGAAATATACATTCTGTATGGTACATCACATACAAGGTTTTCTGTGATTCGGATTGGTAAAACTAGTAAGTAATGACCATCAGAGCTCTGAGAAGAGAGAATGGGTAAATAGTGTCTCCCTCTGCTGGTGAACGTAGAACTGTGCAGTTAACAGTCAATCACTTCAAAGCTACCTGTATGCGCATGAGATTACACAAACATGTACAATGTGTAAAAAACATTATGCAAATAATCAAAAATCAAGTGTGAAACATGGTGGAAAATGCCGCCACATGGCAGGTAAATTAGAAAAGCTTTAAGCAAACAAGCAGGCTGTAATCACTTAAAAATGGATGTTTTCTTTACTTGATTGCAGGTAAACAAGAAGTCAAATGTAACAGTTTAACCTTAGTAATCACAAACAGATGTTTTTTTTTTCGGTATTCTGCAGTCAGAAAATAACAGCATTTTAAGAATGAAAAGAACATCAGAACATTTGTTGTCCAGGCAAAATAGAAGGCCACTTGTGCTCAGTGATACTTCTATATCTGATCTGTAAAGCACAGCAGGTCAGTGTATACAAATATAAAACACACTTTATGGAGACATTTACTGAAGTGACATTACATTGTATGACCACTGATTAACATGAAACATGTCTGCTAACTGTCAGTTTTATTGAAAAATGGATTATGTTCACATTTTTATTCATGATAACAATTATAAATCAAAGCTTCAAACTATCTGACCAATGTAAAAAACAAAACTCAAAAGTGAAGGAAACCCAAGATAAATTCGATTTTGATGAAAAAAGGAATGAAAAAAATAATTGTTGAAGTTATCAAAATACATAAGACTGTATATATTATACTTAGGTATACCTATGTAAATAATCTTTTCAAAACATTAGGGCCATTACAACCATATATATCTCAATGTAAAAAATACATCCATTAAAAAATGTGAAGGATAATTGAGTGTAGCAGCCATCACTGGTTATACTGATTTTTAGGGATTTTTTGAACAGTCTGTGGACTCATTTATAAAAAATACTTTTCAAATCAAAGCTTTCTAACTGTTTGAATCTGCTACTTTTCTGTATTGTCTTTTTGTGAAATCAAATCTGATAACTAATAACTTCAATTATACAGTTTATACATTTTGGAAACGGTTAAATTGAGGCAAAGAAATTTGTATAGAATAGCCCTGTCTTCCACAACAATTTATCTGACACTACAGTAAGAAGTGAAATAGTCATCTGCATGAAAAAAAAAACAAACATAATTCTTTATAAGAGAATCACATTTCTTTGTCGGTGTCTGATGTGTGTACAACAGAATCGAGATAAACCCTTTATAGAACCCAAATAAAACAGAGAAAAGACTAAAAAGGAAACTAAATAGAAACAGTACCATCAGAATTAGCAAAACTAGAAATCAGAGTTTTGTCATTGGTATGTGTAAGTTGTTCCAGGGACCCATCCAGAGCTCCTCTTCATCAGACAGTGTTTGCTCACATGGAGATTCTTCCGACTCTTTAATCTCCCCATTGTTCACTGAGGACTCCAGCTCACAGCACCCCTTATCCTGCTCCAAACGGGCTTTATCGATGTTGGATTTGGGCCCTATGCTGTTAGGGCCCATTACACTGCACTCTTTGGAGTTAAGGTTGTGATCAGTAACATAGGAATGGGCAGTGGTGGTGCTGATAGTAGGCCCATTGTCTTCTGTTACATTTAAAGGTAAATGCTCTTCGTGTGTGACACCTAGCTTGTCCAGTTTTTTTAATTGTTTGCCTAACCGTGTTGGTGAGCCCAGTTTTAAGTTGTTGGGGTAAGGGGGCCTTCGTGTTCGGATGATGGTACCATTTTGGGCAAGGTATACTGATCCGTTGATGTTACTGTGGCTGCTGATGTTGGGTATGCGATTGCGTTGGACGTCCGGTCCACTGTCTTCTCCTGTTGAAGTCGTGTCATGCTCTCGGTCTAACACTAGTTTGATTCGCTTCTTTTTGCCAGCCTGGAGATCAGAGAGAAGAATTATTAACATAAATCAGCTATCAAAGAAAAACCCTCCACTAAGTGGGAATAGTAGAGACCAGGGGCCATATTCACAAACAATTTTAGTCCTAGCGTTGTTTCTTAACATTTATTAGCCTTAAGATTTTTTTGTGAATATGACCCCAGCCATGTGAAATTGCAATCATAATCAAACTGAAGGTTGCGTGCACCCCTAGTAGAGAAGCATACTGATGGCTGCACATGTGGTGTCAATATTATATTAAAGCACTCACAGTAGGGATACTGTTTTTGGAAACAGAAACATGAGATTAATACAAATAAATGTTTTGAAGACACAGTTTTGGGGCTGGTAATGTAGGTTCACTCAAGAGAAGAAATTTGAGAAGCACACCAGAATAAAAAAAAATTACGGCATGCCATTTTTTTAGCACTTCCATGCAGTTGGATTTGTTCCAAAACACACCAGTATAAGAGAAAAGACAGGTATCAAGTGGGAATCACTTCACTCCATGGCAGAAGTCAGTTAGGTCTTACTTGGTCCCTGTTTAGAAAGCTGTGGAATCTCCTGAGACAGAATCTGCATCTGTTACTTCTGTGGTACCTTCGGTTCCCGACTGCTGTGAGCGACGCCTAGAGCCGCTCTCAGATCCTGAGCCACTGCCGGAGGTTATGGCATCCTCATCCACCTCTGTGATTGGCGAGAGGCCTCCAAACGTCTCATCTGAACTCTGAACGCTGCCCTCTGTGGCGTATGGTGTGCCTCCACTTTCTGCTGGTGAGATCACACTTGACCTCCGTGATATTGATCCCTCACTCATCTCACTAGCTGACTCTCTGCTCTCTGCTGTTTCATCCTCCTCCTCGTCCTCTTCTTCTTCAGACACCTCTTCTTCCTCCTCACTTTCCTCATCAATGGTGTCCTGCGAGGATCGGGTAATGATGCTCTTGCGAGAGCGGCGGCTTCCTCCTGCTGATCTGGAGCTTGTGGAGCTTCTCTCACTGCCGGACACGGAAACGGCATCTGATTCAGTGTCATCTGATGCAGCAGATCCGCTCATTTCCGTCCCGGATGATGCAGCAGATCCACTCATTTCTGTCCCGGATGCCTCTTCAGAGCCACTCGCTGACCCTATCTCACCACTGCTTTCCTCACCAGACACTGATGCTTGTGATGACCTTACTGAAGACCGGGCTGAAGACCCCTTAGAGCTGCCACCTGATACGCTGCCACTCGGAGTACCACTTGCACTTCCAGAAACACTCCCACTTCTGCTGCTCCGTGTTCCTGCACTCGAACGCTCCGAGGAACCCTCAGTATGGGATGATTTCTTTGAAGAGCGAGTAGAAGATGGCTCTGATCCTGATCCTGACTCTTCCGTTCCTTTAGACTCTTCATCTTCTTCAGATTCTTCCTCGGACTCCTTTTCTGTGGCAGAACTCTTCTCAGCACTGGACTCTTCCTCAGTTCCTGATTTTTCAGTCCCAGATCCAGACGCTGTTTCTGTTCCTGAGGTCTTTCCAGACCCTGACTCTTCCTGCGAGCCAGATTCCTCCTCTGAACCTGACCCTTTCTCGGTTTCGGATTCTTTCTCAGATGCTGACTCTGCCTCGGAATCCTTTTCGGTTCCTGACTTCTCAGTCTCAGATTTGGATTTACTCTCTGCATCAGATTCGTCTGGTTCTTCTGGCTCTGATTCAGAATCAACTGTGCTCTCATTGGCATCATCTCTATCCAGATCCACTTTCAAATAATCCTTATCGTCAGTGGAGCCTGCTACACTGCTCCTCTCAGATGATTCCTCCTCATCCGAGGCTTTCTTTCGGCTCTCTGCCTCTGATCCACTCCCGCTGGCCTCTGGCTCACTGACACTGATGGACACTTTTGATTTCTTCTCTTCTCTCTCTGATTCGGCTGCAGACTCGTCCTTCTCACTTGCAGAACTACGACTGATGGTGCTCTGTGATTTTCTTCTAAGTTGCAGCTTGTTTGCCAGATTAATGCGTTTCAGGACTTTCCCAAGTCGACTCCTGGCAGAGGATGTGCCATCAATGGAAGCGACTGGGCTTGCGCCACCTGCCAAGCTCTCTTGACTATCAATACGACGTGCAGATGTCAGCTTGGCATAATCTTTGTCTTTCTTCCCTTTCCCAAACATCATCGGGAAGATCTTGGCCTTCTTCCATGGGGAGCTAGGTTCAATTTTCTTCCCAGCAGCAAGAAACTTGCTGAGCTTCATGACGGACTTCAACCTCTTTGCAGCTTTGGATTCTTCAGCTTCAGCCTCTGCTGGCTCCTCAGCAGGAACCTCTGGCTCTGCCTGTTCAATCTCATCCTCTGGTGGGAAATCCTGGAATCCCACATGCTTTCCACGCCCACGGCCTCTCCCTCGCCCACCTCGCCCTCTTGCCCGACCCTGTTGTGACATTATTTCCTTTAAAACAATCTTATTAATCACAGGTTACTAAAATGAAATGGTCAAACCTGATACTAAATGATGCATGAAACAAAAATAAGTTTCTATTGGTGAGGCCAAGATTATGAACAAAAAGAAAACATAACTGCACCATTTCCTTCAAGCAGCCAGTGAATGAATGTGTAGGGTTACCTCTGGTTCACCATAGTAATATCCTTCATCTTCCATGATGGCCTCTCCAGACTCATCATACATGGGTGTAATCAGCCTCCTGCGGCTGCCGTAGGGTGGATAGGGATCATACCTGGAGGTAGGAATGGAAATATTACAACATGTGAACATACCTTAAAAGTTATTGTGTGGAGAACTATATTAAAGTTGCTGTAAGAGATTTCAATTTTGCTAATTTCCAGTAAATGGATTTAGCCCATCTCTTCAATCATAAGCATTCTCTCCAAAATCCCACCCTCCTAAAACAAACAAGAACATCAGCAAACAAAAACATGATTTCTAGCCGGCTGAAAGTGCTGGACAAAATTTTCTATTAACTTCTTTTAAAGCTAGGTTTTGTCAACATTTAAAAATTTGTCTTGACAAATATTGCTTTTTTATTTTATTTTTAAATGAAGCCAACATTCAAATTTGAATAGCAATTCTACATCCTTTGTGATACCTCAATTCAATTCAAATGCACCTGAAGTTCTGAGTATTTTGGGGGCAAGACCTCCAACAGGTTTGAAAATAGGTGCGTTTACTGAAGACGGGAAAGCCAAAACAGATGCCTCATTACACTTGCAATCAACATCAGCCCATGTGTAGCTCCACCCACGCAGGACAAACAGCCCCTGTGATCCAGGGATTAAAGGCTAAACCCCCATTTAAAGATTCCTAAGCTCTCTAAATAGCCCTGGATCTTCAGCAGGCCAGGTCTCTCTGATAGCAGGTGCACTTCAGCCTGACAGAAGTGCAACATTTATCTTCCCCACTCTAGAGGTCTGCATTCTCGCGGCTCTCCGGCGGGAACCACGGGCCCCGATTGGATTTTTTGCGCCGCGGGATTAAATTCCCGAATAAAACGCGGTAGCAGTCGGTAACTCTGGTGTAATTTGAACGGGAGTGGGCGGTCTAACAATATCCCGTTCCCGACGTCCATTTAGAACAGCATATCTGCGCTTTATTCTTATTGACCACCGGTACAGCTTGCGCTCAGGACTGTTATGCACGCGCTGCACGCATGCTTTAAACGTCACACGTTTTATTTGTGTGAGAAAATTATTCTAAGCGGACAGCGGGTGAACAAAGAGTGAATATATAGCGGGAGCGGGTGGGTGCGGAATAGAACCTTGCAGGAGTGGGACTAAAAAAACAGTCCCGCACAGACCTCTACCCCACTCTCTCCCTTGATGTCTATGGAATCAATGCCATCTTTCTTTCTCAAAGGCCTTGACTATGGACAAAGAAACCTTGACATTCAAAAGAATCAGTTAAAATTTTGAGGGAATTCTCAAGAAAATAATTCTCTTTTCAGCATAAAATTGATATTATAAATATTATTGACAATTTAATCAATCTATGGGGCAAATCCTTTAAATATCATCCTTCTAAAAGATACATTCTCTGAGATGTAAACTTACATAGTGCTAAGATTAATAGCTAGATGAACAGGTGTTTTGCATCATATCTTGTTTTATGTTATGTAATTTAGCACGACTGGAATTCTGGATTGACTGATGTGCATCCATTTTAAAATGTTAAATAAGACATTAAGAAGTCTATCATCAGAGATCTTGATGTTAAAGCACATCATCTGTTCTGTGGTGCTCACAGCTGACGTTCAGAGCACTACGGAGACCTTTAAGACCATCTGCTGCTCCTCTTGCTACAAAAATTGAATGACTATCGAACATAATAGAGGATGCCATTAGTCTGATCTCTGAAAGTCCTACTAGCAAACATGCGGTTCACGCCTAAATGAATCCACTGAGCTTAGCTAAAGATGGCTGAGTGGAGGTGAGGGCACATTAATCTCATCAAAGCTTCCAGCATCTCCTCAGATGGGCTGACGTTAAACCATGCAGTTCAACATTTGCAAGAGCATCTGTCCCGATAGTAAAGCTGTTCTGATGGCACATTACGTGTCAATTTGAGAGTGTTTACACCTCTTTCTCTCGCTTCTGCTGTCTCCTTCTGTTTGCACACACAAGGTGCTCAATTAGTGTATTGTACTCACTATAGGCATCATTTTTAGGGGGGGGGCTCAGGTGTCTTGGTATCATCAAATTGATTGGGAAAATTGGAATGGAGAAAGTAGAGAAATTCTGAAGAAGTGATCAAGGATAAGATGATTGAAATTCAAAGGGCATGGGAGACAGACAGAGAAAAAGAGAGCTAAGGGGGCATATTAAATAACATACTTCACCTTCAAGAGAGGATTTTTGTGAAAGAAATACACAAACGCAGTCTGAAACAAAGACACACTAGCCTTGTATATACTCTGAAACTCACCCTTGATCGTAACTATAGTAGTCTTGGGTACCTGATTCCATGGAGAGAGCCTAAAATACAAACGTAAAGACAGATGTCAGACTTCATCTTCACACAGGCTACTAAAATTAGTCAGGGTTTGGTGCCCAACTGATACAGTCAATAACATTTCTGGCACACTGTGTGCTTGTTCACCATTTACTGTAACTTAATTTAAACTGGGAATGCAAATGAACATCTAGACTACCGTTCAAAAGTTTGTGGTTGGTAAGTTTTTTTTTTGTTTTTTTGTAGAGGTCTCTTATGCTCACCAAAGCCGATCATTTATTTGATTAAAATTTACAATTAAACAGTAATATTGTAAAATACACTTACAATTTCAAAATTACTGTTATATATTTAAAAATTTAGTTTTTTTACTCCAGTATTCAGTGTCACATAATCCTTTAGAAATCATTCTAATATGCTGATTTGATGCTCAAGAAACATTATTATTATTGTTGTTGTTGCTGTTGTTGTTATTATTATTATCAATGTTGGAAATTATGTTTTTGTTGTGCTGTTTAACATTTTTGTGGAAACCATGCTAGATTATTTGATTAATATAAAGTTCAAAAGAACAAAGTTACAGTATCATATGGATTCATAAAACCTTTAGAACCTTCCCCAGTCCTCATTCACTTTCATTGTATGAATAACAGCTGCTTAGACATGCTGCTTTTTACTGTATGTTCTGCAGAAAGTTTGAACGAAGGAATGGACATTAGTGTGAATAAATGATGAAAGGTTTTTTGGGTGAACTGTCCCTTTAGAATTATTATTTAGCGATTAAAGCCCCCATGAATTTGCCATACGAGTGCAGTTTTGTCTCCTTTGACGTATATCCCATTGAACCAGATTTTGTGTGACCTTAAAGCTAACATACATCAACTTAAAACTTCAATGTTTGTCATGGGATCTTTAAAAAGAGATATAAAAAATCTTTAGTAACATTAGGAAGATTTGTCAAGACCCAAGAAGGAAAACTAAGGAAAGGCATGTAGAAAAAACAGAGATGCTACCTCAGGCCGGAGCAAAGAGGGTCTCAACAGCTGCTGCTGCTGCTGCTGGCAGAATCACAAAGAGAAGAGAGGGAGAGGAGAAAAAAAGATTTGACACTAAGAGAGAATACATGAGAGGCAGCGCAGAATAAAAGGCAAAGACAAAGAGAATAGCAAGAAAAGATGTTGCTGCATACCTTTAAAACAAATGATCAGACAGAGTACATGACAGCAAAAAGATGTGCATTAAAACAGGAAAGAGGGGGAGAAAAATTAGCTCCTGGTTAGGAAGATAATGACAGAGATGCAGATTAGGGAAAATGTTCCATCTAAAGAAGTAGACCCAACTTTAAGCGCTAAAGTGCTTGAAAGGTCAGAAAAGCATGCAAATGCAACCTATATGCATTAACTTTGCAACTTAGACACTGAAGTGACTGCAAAATTATGTGTGCAGGCTGAACTGAGTAAAGACACGACTCTTCCATTTACACTCCTTAGTGGGGTGCAAATGTAAGTTTAATGGCAAAGTTTCTATTGCTCCCTTCATCTCATTGAGATTCTACTGTAAGCCTCTCACAAGGCACTATTGGCAGCCTAAAGTGACAAGGGAACAAGGTAGTTTTACCTTCGACTTATTAAAGGCCTATATATTAAAGGGATAGTTTCACCCAAAAATGAAAATTCTGTCATTAATTACTCACCCTCATGTCGTTCCACACCTGTAAGTTCATCGTTCATCTTCGGAACACAAATTAAGATTACATTTTTGATTACATCCGAGAGCATTTTAATGTGGTAGTTGTGTTGCTCCCATTTAATAAAAAATATCTTCATTTGTGTTCCGAACACGAACAAAGGACTTACAGTACAGGCGTGGAACAATATGAGGGTGAGTAATTAACGACAGAATTTCATTTTTGAGTGAACTATCCCTTTAAACCAACTACATAGAACTGGATTTTTAGTACCATCCAGTTCTAAAAGTCACCATCATGATGCCATGAGGTATTACTCATATCCATGCAGTTTCACAGTTAGTGTATGAGTGACAGAAATAGTGATCAGATCAAAGGAAATGTAAAAAAAAAAAAAAAAAAGACTCACCTCTCTGCCAAAGCCACGCCTGCTGAAAGAGACATAAAAAATGATTGTAAAGACCGACATGTAGCTGGAAATGTGACATCTGTTGACTAGCTAAGTGATTTTAGACTTGTTCTTGTAGAGTCTGACTCACTTTCATCATACAGAAAGCATTACAACACTTCCTGTCATCTCTTATCATTGGACCAGAATGAAAACACCATATTTAAATGCGAAAGCACTTGAAAGATAAAACGCACTCAGGGAAATGGCGCAGATAGTCTTGACACAAGCAGTTTTACCTACAATGAAGACTTCAAAAGCATGTTAATCTGCTTTTTCCAAATAAGTCATTTTCTGATGAATGGAAAACCAACATATGCACACATACTCACACTCATACACAACCTATATTTAATGCAGTAGCTATAAATTGTCCAATCATACACTAACAAAATTTCAAGGAAAGTTACATTTGAGAGGTCTCTCAAGGGCCAAGAATGAAACCCACTTAGTGATTAAAGCACTGTGACAAATGAGCAACATGTTGTCCAAGTGTGTGTGTGTGCGTACCTGGTATTCCCTACATTATGGGAACCAAATATCCCCACAAGTATAGTAATAACAGTAATTTTTTTGGGTGGTCCCCATGAGGAAACAAGCTTATAAATCATACAGAATGAAGTTTACCTGGCTATAGTTTGCAACAAAATTGTCCCACAAAGTGAATTACATCTGAAGAAGCGTCCTCAAAACTAGGGTGAATCTTACATAAAATAAAAAAAAACAGGCCACTGGACATGTTTAATGAAATTCACCCCATAAATAAAGATGCACAGAATGGCATTAGAGGGTGCATGTTCTGTTTCACATGAATAAGTTATGAAATACCCCTGTCAAACACACATAAACACATCTCTCTCACACATAATGAATGAGAATGGCAGATGAGTGATGTGGGATGCGTGTGAGTGTGTGTGTAGGAGGAAAGTGACTTCTCTCTTGGTGTCCCTCAGAAACAGAAAGGCTGGTTCTCAGTTCTATGAATGCAAAAAATGGACTTGCAGTCTCGTGGAGACTGTTATGTGAGACTACTTTGAATGAACGATCTCAGAAGGACAGGAGGGCACATAACACATCAAAAAACATTATAGAAAGATCCGTTTTAAAAGATAAAGTGCTGAGACGAAGTACCTTCATTTTCTAATAGAGCAGGAGAGATTAGTTTTATTTTGTGTGGTGAAGCAGGTAATATGAAAGGAGGGTGGAAGTGAGGAAGACACGAACACAGTAGAGAAAAAACAGAATTCGGCAGACTCATCGATTGATTAATTAAATTTCTCCAAACCTCACCGTCTGTGCGTTCATCCTGCTGAGCAGGTCATGTGAATATAGAGCTGTTCCTCTGAACCTACAAACAAGCCCTGGCACATCCACACAACATCCATTCAGTTTGCACATAAATCTTTTTTCTCAGACATAACACAACCTAATTCTTCAATTTTGAATTGAGGAGAGAAGAATTCTTCCTCCCTCCTTTCATATCACCTGGTTCACCACACAAAATAAAACCAATCTATCCTGCTCTATCAGAAAATGATAGTACTTCATCTCAGTACTTTGTCTTTTAAAAAGAGATCTTACTATGGTGTTTTTTTTGTTGACATTTTTAATAGCAAATCAATAGTTTATTTGATACTTTATAAATTATTTTTATGTGTGTGTGCGTGTGTCACAGATCACAGCACATATCAAAGATGCATCTGTCCTCCTGTCCTTCCGAGACATTCATTCATTCAAGACATTACGGTCTTCACAAGAATGCAAGTCTGTCTGTATATTTATGTTTATATCTAACAATTCTGACTTTTTTCTCAAAATTGCAAGCAACAAAGTGAGAATTGTGAGATAAAAAGTTGCAATTACCTTTGCAATATTTAGTTTTATTCACGGCAGAAACATGGCTTCCATAAATAACTGTAATTTAATTTAATTTCTATCTATTTTTTTAATGAATTGATTTATGTTTGTGTGTGTGTGTGTATTTCAAAGGTGCACTAACACTTCAGAACCGAAGATGAGACATTAGCAAATCAGTGTGCATTTGCTTATGGGATGATGACAGATTTCAAACAGATTTTTCGATATGGATGAGGGAGATGCCATCTGCACACCCCTGCTGAGATATTGTAGGAGCGGTTTGTCTGAATGGAGAGACATTGACTGCGCGCCTGATGGGGTGAATTCAGCGGGGAACGGCATAGCAGACGTCCCCCTGCCATGTGCCACATAAACGATTAGCTGTATTGTTTAATCTCTATGTGATTCTTGTCTGCTTGAGTTTCTGAAAGGGCAAAAACATCTGCAGGACCTAACCAAGACAGGAGAGCTTCAGGAGGTCTGGCACTCTAGACAGCTTTTTAAAAAGGGTTAGTGAGAGTGCAGGGAACAGGGAAGAGAGATAGAGGGAGATATGGTGAATAAATGAGAAAGATATATAAAGAATGACCTGTTTTTAACCTTCAAAACCAACCTTGTTTACTTTCTTAATGCATGTTCACCAGTGCTCATTATTATAAATAAAAATGTATTTTCCGAACCTTTAATCAAAATGTAATAACCTGCTCTTCCTCTGAAATGACCTTCCTTTTCCATTACTTAGGCTGTGCAGGCTACTGGATAATATGATTCTTTTTTCTGATTATATTAAATTGATTAAACAAAATCTGATCTTTATTTATAAGGCCCATCCTCATCAAACTTGATGATAATCTCTGTCACCACCTTCATCATCAACAGACACTCCTCTCACAGTCACATGATCATGACAACAGCTCTTCACACCAACATCCGCCTGCTAGGAAACATGTGTCACCAGTTAAACATTAAATATTCATAAACAGTGACGGTCAGTTAAAATTATTATTTTTTTGATTTATCTGATAAAAAAGTAAATTTTTTATTTCATATATTCCACTGGTAAAAAATTATTCCACTTGCTCAATGCTTTTCTTAAAAAATGTGTAAACTGACAGTGATAAAATTACATCTAAATTAATGCATGCTATACATATTGTGCAAAAAACTATCTAAATGTTACATATAAATATACAATATAAATACAAATAAAAAAAATATACACTACTGTTCAAAAGTTGTAGGTCAGTAAGATGTTCTTATTCTAACCAAGGCTGCAATTATTTGATCAGAAATATAGTAAAAACAGTAATATTGTGAAATATTATTACAATTTAAAACATCTGTTTCTATTTTAATATACTTAAAAATGTAGTTTATTCTTGTGATATTAAAGCTGAATTTTCAGCATCATAACTCCAGTCTTTAGTGTCACATTGTTACGTATCCGGTCCATGAACTTCCAGCCTAGCCTAGTCTTGCCTTGTCTGTTTTCTCGGTTTCTGATCTTTGCCTGTTTTCCTGGATTTATCCCTTTAGTCTCGCCCTTTTGATTCTGTTCGCCGTTCGTTGACCTTTGCTAGCCCTAGGACTATTCTTGTGTCTTGTCCGCCATATACCTGTTTGCCACTGTTCGACCCAGCCTGTGTTTCTGACCTCTCTGCTTTAAATAAAGCTTGCACATGGATCCGCACGTCTCACCAGCCCCGTAACACACATGTGCCTTCAGAAATCATTTTAATATGCAGATTTGATACTCAAGAAACAAATAATTTCTTATTATGTAGCACAAAACTATATATACAGTACTGTATATATAAAACATTTATATATATAAAAATATAATCCATTAGAGCTGTTTTTTTATAATACTTATACTTGTAGGATTTCACTGTCCAAAAATAATAATTATATCATAACAAATATTGTAAATCAAAATTCTTCACTCTTTTTCTCTGTATTCTATTTGACTGGCACAAGTGACCATTCTGTGAGGTACTTAACACTATAAGTATGTACTATAACATAAAAACAGTAAAACACCTCTCAGTCACATTGAAGCCGGCCACATGAAACATTACGCTTTTGACCTTCTTTGAAATGTACTATAAAGTGCTCTCAAAGTAAAGTGCCCTCAAAATAGATGAAAAAGTAAGTAATGAAACAGAGGAGGTGTAGGAAAGAAGGTATTAAAAAAGAGTTCCAGAGTTCATTCAGAAATGAAGGGCTGGGGTGGGGGGCGATCTCTCATTCCACTGGGATTGGTTGGTTTGAGGGCTGAGCAGAAGAGTCTGATTCTGATTGGCTGCTGTCTGTTTCGCCTGGTTTAGACTCTGGCTCTTTTAGCACAACAGTCGTGGAGTCTTTACTTCCTCCTTCGCAACTGCTGCCATCTTTCACATCAATGCTGTCAGCGGATCTGGGCGTGCTCTTGAGGATCCCTCTTAGTTTAGGTGTAGGAGTTGGAGACTGAACTGAGACAGGAGACTGAACAGGAGTTGGGGTTGGTGGTGGGGTGAAGTCCTGTTGCAGAGGTGGAGGAGAAAGAAAAGAGCAGGATGGGACAGGATGAGGGGGTGGAGGACTTTCCGGAGAGTCCGATATGAATTCCAATGTGATCTCACAAGGCTCCACCGTCATGTAATTGGATATACTGGAGCTGAACTTCCTCAGGACGGGTGGAGTCGGCCGCTGAGCCATGGGTGGGGGAGGAGTCTCGCCGTCACCCCCGGTGATGATAATGCAGGGTGGGATGTCCTTGCCAACAGAAATTGGACTGGATGAGAACATGAAGGCGCTTAGCAGTGGGTCGTCCGGATCCAGAGATGCGTAAGAGTCCCGGCTCTGTCTGGGTGTCCGTTCGGCTAAAGCTTGCTGCTCAAACTGTCTGGCTTGTTCTCGGACCGACAGCTTTGTTTCTGTGCTTCGACTACTTTGATCTACATCAGTATCAAGTTCTTCCCTGCTGTCCTTAAGCCCCGCCTTCAGCTCTTGCTCCTCCCATTCAGTGGGGTCCCAGAGTGCCTGCCGGCGCAGAGCATCGTAAAGCCCTCGTCCTCGAATACGGGACGGCAATGACCAAGAAGTCATCTGGCTGATGGGGCTCGTCGGAGATGGGATGTCACTGTCTAGAAACCCACCGACCCTTTGCACCTCCGAGTTGGGCTCTGGACTACTGGACGCTCCATCCCAGTAAAGTGGATTTTGTGTGGTGAGCGGCCGTTCATCTGAGAGGAAGCTGATGTTGCTTTCTGACTTGGGCAACTTGTCGAGTAACTTTCCATTTCCGCCACACAGTTTGTGAGCGGCAATAGCACGAGAGGCGAAGGCTCTTATGAGACTCTGTCGATCCGCCTCCTCGATTACAGACTTTCGGCGCATTCTGCAGCCCACGAGAGAAAATGAAAGGAGAGGAGAGAAGATTGAAGCATGTGTGGAAAGAGACAGGAAGGAATTGAGGGAAGAGAACAGCCATGGGAGGACAGAGCGCTAATGACCCACTACACAAAAATCCTTCACTTTAATGGACTTTGAAAGAGCTCGGCCAAACAAATTTGCTCAAGATTTTGCATTTAACTTTAAATACGCTAAAGCAAATACTCTCAGTCAGGACTTCTGAGACAAATGTGACCCTGGACCACAAAACCAGTCTTAAGTGTAAATTTTTCGAAATTGAGATTTATACATCATCTGAAAGCTGAATAAATAATCTATAATTTTGACCCATACAATGTATTTTTGGCTATTGCTACAAATATCCCCGAGCAAGTTAAGACTGGTTTTGTGGTCCAGGGTCACAAATAGTCTTAAAATAGTCTTACTAATACTTCAGGAGACCTTATGCTGCATTCGATTCAGAAAGTTGAATTTTCAAGTTCCTATTTGGAAAAGTGTAATACAGGAATTACACAGTTTTAATAATAAACATTCACTTGTAAGCCAATAAAAGGAAACTATTCAAGAAAAAGATGTATGTTTAAAACACAGGTAATGAGCTTTTTTTATTCATAATCATAGTGTACTTCTAAACCACATCTGCGGTTCTCTATGCACCTGAAAAATTTGGCAGATCATTGACGCAACTATATTAATTTAATGTTAATTTATTATTTTAATGCTATAGTTTCACGTAGCAAATAAGAATAGTTAAAATTACCAAATATATTTTGCGAATATCTTGCAAATGTCTTGTTAATGATTTTCAGTTTCCTTCAGAGTTTGCGATTCGGCCCGAATCAGTTTTATAAAGTGTTTTTGAAAAATCACTTACTCTGCCTTTAAATCGACAGTTTTTTAATAACTACAGAATATGTAAAATTATGGTTCATTTAATTTGTTGACATGACATGGGTAGATTCAAATGGTAATTATCTTTTTTTTTTCATTGAGTGTCTAACTAAGAGATAATCACCATATTTAAAATGAAACCATCATTTTTAAAAGTGTAATTAATAATAAAATATACATATCATATTATTATGGGATCTGAATCAAGCACACTATATTTTATCAAAATAAACAAAATATGGTACAAACATTGCTGAAGTGATTGTGAATTCCCTATTCTGGGAGCCTTTTACTCCTCACCACCTCATACATTTATACGATTTTTAAACAAACAAACAAAAAAACTACTTTTATGATGCTTTTCCCACAAAATGTGCTGCTCTATTAATGTTCAACAAAAAGATATATTTTTTTTTCTGCACTCATACAAATTTCCTTATGATGTGCCTATAGCCCCACTGTACCCTACCCGCAAAACAAAGGCTAGCACATCCATGTTTCTTTATATACTGTTATCTGAGCCTTGAATAATGTGACAGTCTGAGATATTAAGTAGGAATACCCTACATCCAACTTTGCATGGAATGCAGCAATAATACGATGAATGCAAGCAGGCATCAAAATTGTGTATTTTCAGCTGTGAAGCACAAAGATCATACACTAGCACTCAAAAATCAGTCTGAAATCCCTATCTGTTCAGTTAATCTTTGTTCAAACATCAATCAAGATGATCTGTGACAACGGCGAGTCTCAAAGTGAAGGATGTGAGAAGCGTGTTTGTTTGCTTTGAGGAGAGAACTGCGAGAAACTAGAGCCGGGAGGCGAGGGCTTTATCTAGTGAAAAACTACTAAAGCTTGAATCTACTACAGAGCTACACACATGTATCTGTGAATTTTATGTGCATTTTTCCTTTTTTAAAAGTAAATAGTATCAAAATGTTCCTTTAAATATGCAATTCGACAGAAAATGTGGAATAAAAACAGAGTAAATGGTAAAGAAAACTAGCAGAGCAGTTACACAGGGACTAGAAACTACCACAGACCACAAATGTAAGCCAAGAAGGATTTTAAAATACACTGACAGGAACGTGTAAGAAAGAGCACTGCAGGGAAATGCAGCATATTTTATGTTACTCACTGTAGTCCAAGCCTGGAAAATGCAGAGAAGATGAGAATGAATGAAACATGAGAGGAAAATACATGTAGATAGATGGATATGATGACAATTTAACACAGACAGGCCCTATTCACATTTGGCATTAACATGCATTCTCAGTGACCGAATCAAAAACAGAAACTTGACCACAATGAAAGCCAGATGTAAATGCACACAAAACTAGGGTGACCATACATGCCATTTTCCCAGGTTGCGTCCTGGCCAGGATTTCTATATTGCCTAAAATATCTAGGTTTTGGCTTTGTTTGCATGTGCAGACCGATTGGTATATGACATCAAAGTACCATACAGACGGTTATGCTTTCGTAACGCTCTCGAGGTACTTTGATGTCAAACACTGATCGGTCTGAGCCGCACTGCTTTTAAGTCGAACACACCTAATATGTATGCGTAATTGCATCGCTTTGACCGTAGATCCCACCTTCTCACACGCCATGATTGGTCCATTACGTACAATGCTTGCATGTTATTAGTCAAACTACTTTTCGATCATTACCTTCAGCAAGCATGAAAACAGGAAAACAAAGCCAAAGCAAATCCTGGCCAGGACGCGTCCTGGGAAAATGGCATGTATTGTCACCCTACACAAAACCATCTTCCACAAAGGTGTAAGTGCAAACGTGTTTTTTTAATCACATAAAGTACAACTAAGCAAGTAATTTATAAATGCCGGTTTCTGTGGATGAGTGCGATCAGATCTCTATTCAAATCCAAATGGAAAAGCACTGGAGTGCAAGGAATAAATGCAATCCAGCTAAATAATATCCGGATAATCTCTGGATATGAAATGCATGTTAACATCAAATGTAAAGGGGCCTGAGAGACACATATAAAAGGTAAATAAAGAGGAAACGTAACCACCCATCTGTTAAATCATTCAATACACATGTGAAAGAAATGTGCATTGTGATACATGCAACACAAACTGCATAAATAGGCTAATATTTCAGTGGGATGGGAATGTAATGAAAATATATTTGGGTCATATTGCACCCCAAAATCAACTGAAAAATAACATAACATGAAGAAAATAATTTTTAGGGCCATTAAGTGTTATTTGCACTATAAATACTTATTACCATAATGTGTCTAAAACCGAGAAAAAAAAAATGTTACTTGAAATAACTGAAAATATATATTAAAAATTGTAAATTATTTCAGGAAGTCTCATTTTAATTTAGTTTAACTTGTACTAAAATAATTGGAAAAAAATAAGAATAATAAAAAATGAAAACTTTTTCAACATATTAAAAAAACTCGTACAAATTACAAAAAATGCAACATTTTAAAATTAAACCATTTTAAAATTAAAATAAAAAATAGAATATATAATTTTTTTTGTTTGTTTGTTTTATATATAATTTATTACTTTTGTTTTTGGGGTGAAATTTCTGTTAATGAAATGTTAAAAATAAATGAACAATCAATCAATCAATCAATCAATCAATCAATCAATCAATCAATCGATCAATCAATCGATCAATCAATCTGAGGGTCACAGAGAGACTCCTTAAGCACTGTTTTATAAGGTTGCTGACAGACTACTGTTATTATTAATATCCAACAAAAGAACACAATGTTTGCCCAAAAACACAAGCAAACAAATTCTACCCTGATGTTCCTTTCTGCTGATGGTATTAAACTGCTGTTCAGGAATACGGTCCATCAATCTCAGCATCTATTCTAATGGATTCAATACAAAACCACGTCTTTTCCGCTGTCTTTTTGTGTTAGCAGCTGCATTTGTTTTGATTGCATTAAATCAAAAGCACTTTAAAAGGCTTTACCTGAGGGACACAGATGCTGTGCTGCGGCTATAATCTTTTAATCTATTAACATTTCATTCCACTCACAACAGCCTTTAGCTTGGCAATGGACTCCTGCTGCACCAAACCCGCACGTCCAGTGAGCACATCTCTATGGATGGACTTAGTAAGCTAAAATCACAGCTAATTTACCAAAGGAACAATTACCTTTGGGATGTCAAAAAGGAACAGTTTCTCCCTTTGGAGAATGGCAAGACTTTATAAGGAAAAACTTTTCTTTTTTCAAATGAATAACCAGGTTAGGGCATTAAAGAGGTAGTTCACCTAAAAATTAATATTCTGTCATTCTATTATTTACACTCACATGACATTCCAAACATGAAAGACTTTCTTTTTCCTCCATGTGACATGAAATAAGATATTTAGCAGAATGTTCATGCTGCTTTTGTCCATACGAATGATAGTGAGTGGCAAAAATCATACACTTTGCCGCAGTTTTGTTATAAATTTCAAAAATAATTACAAAGAAATGGTATACATTAAATTAAATGTGAATTTTAAAAAGTAGACTGAAATACTCATTTCTTATAAAACATACTCCAATAATTGTTTTATTTACAACCTAAAAAATATATATTTTACAATGTACTATGGAGTACTTTTATGGTGCTGTTTTGGTCCATAATATTTTTGTGGTGTTCCGAGAAAGAAAGTCACACAGGTTTTGAATGACGACCGAAATTTCTGAGATAAATTTATGGCAGAATTTTTATTTTTGGGTGAACTATTCTTGATTTTCCTGCAGATACACACACAAATCTTGTTAATCATCTCTCTGCTGTCTCTGCTGAAGGCTGAAGGTATTATTTAGGACAGGTAACTTACATGCCGCCGTCTCCCAGCTCCTCGTAGAGATTGGTCGGAGCGCCACCTCCTGTTGATTTGCCGGCAGGAAGAGCCATCTGGATACGGGCAGTTTTGGCACACTCGGCCTGTCTCCTGTAAAGCATCCTCAAAGAGTGAGTTTCCTTCTTTCAAAAGGCTCATTTCAGCTCTATTATTGGAGGATATGAGGTCTGGAACTCTCATTTGATCTGTTCCAGCACTTTTTATTCATGCAATGCAAAATATCATGGGTTATTCAGCACCTTTCACACTGAGATGAGGTGTTTTATTAGGAGGGAGCTGAACCCGGCTCACTTTGTACTCTATGAGGTCATGAAACCAGTCATTTCTGTTCATTTTCAAAGGCATCGCTATTGTGCTGGAATCAGAGAGGGCTGGAGTGAGTATGTCCTTTGCTGCTCATCTCAATTCATGCATTCTACTCGTATGTTCCTGTTTTAAAGGACTGAACTGAATAAGGAGGGTACGAAGGCACATAGTCTCTGGCAAATAATTCATCAAAAAAGAATTTGAACTTACTCTTTGAATCTGAGCGCAGGGTCCACATGCAGCGACAGGAAGAGCAGAGAAAGAGGCAGAGGAAAGGAGAGTTGTTAGATAATTAGGCACAGGAATAATTAAACAAAAACACAAACAATGATTATTAAAAGAAAGACTGTCAATTTAAAATGTTAATTTACTATACTAATATAATGTAATGTAATATAATATATAACATTTACCCACAGACAACAGAGGACAAGTGGTTTAGAAAATGGATAGTATAATATATTGGCTAATAATAAAAAAATGGATAATATAATATACTAAATATGAAACTATAAGAAAATTGTTAATATAATAATTTATATTAAATATATAATTTCAAATAAAAATAAATTATCAAAAAATGTCAATGTTACATTTATTAATTATACCCTTTTACCTGTATGTAAATTCCTAACTAAGGGACTTTTCTAACTACATATTTTCTCAAAAAATATCACTATTGTGAACATGTACATGAATTGCCATTTGCGATTGTGGTTAATTGTCATTAAAGGTAGGCGATTTCGGAGAGGCTAGCAATAGCAAGCTAGCTTTGAAAGCATAAGATCCCACCCTCCCTGCAAATCACTCTCCAAAGCCACACCTCCTCCAAAACACATCAACGCACACAGGCAAACCAGAGGCTAACAACCTCATGTCACATTCACCGGTGAGAAAATATTACAGTACAAAGCACATAATATTACAATAATAATTTCCATTCTCACATGGTCTGCAATGGAACGCGCTGATTATGTATCATGTCTGTGCGAACAGGGTGTGCCGAGGTATGCAAATACATACGTTGACAGGTATGACAGCCTATCATAGTCCTCGGACAGAAGGATATGATTGGACAAACATTTTATGGTCCTACGCCTTCCACAGACGATATAAATACAAATAAATACATTTAGACCACTTAACTTGCTATCAGGATGTGAAGAGACTTTCAACCAGCATAACAAAAAATTTTCTGAACCAAATAACCTACCCTGCCTTTTTGTAATAGATCATGATCTTAATTCATATTTTTAATCGACTGGCAGTCCAAATTCTAATTTCACAGGCCAGAAAATGCTAGTAGTGTTGAACCATGCAGCCCATTTTGTTTGCAGCTACTGCTGCAGGTGTGTGTGCATAATTCATACTGTAAAATGTGATAAGAGCACAGGATAACCCCGGTTTATCCCACATCTCCTCAGCTGAGAAACAATACAGCTCTCAGCAGTAACCCCTCTCTGTCTCTCCAGCTCTCCATTCTCCTTCTCATCTTTGTATTTCATCCACACACTCTCTCGTCCTAAGCCAGGGCTTCCTGGAGGCTATCAAAGACGTGATCCTCTCAATATTATTTATTTAACCAGAATGCAATTACTCAAAAGACAGTGTGAGATATTGTGTTCTGATATATAAGCTAACACTTGTGTCTCCTGTTATGCATCTTTTGTAAACAACCAAATGTAATGACATAAAAATGTCACTTCACCTTTAATACAAGAGTCTAATCACAAAATGAACTCTTTAATATGTGTAAAAACATCTAAATGCAGTCATGCATGTGTGTGTGTGTGTGTGTGTGTGTGGGAGAGCAAGCTTCACACACTTACTGTAGGTGTGTGTGTTTAGCTGTTTGTGTTCGCTGTGTGATTACCCATCTGTTATGTATTTACACAATAGCTGATGACGGACTCATTGGTGTGTGCAGAAGGTCAGGACCACACTCACATCTCAAGAGAGCTGCTGTGTGTGGAGAGCAGGCCCATATGCTGGGCTTTCATGAGATGTGACGGATGGATCGAATGCCTGGGATATGTCACAAATGCTTATAATTAATCTGCTTTCACACAGAGCTGGCTGGGAGATTAGCCTGTTAGCATGGCTAATTACTGAAAAAAAGCCATTTTAATACCTGGCATCCAATACTCATCTCCCTCACCTACTGTGCATGTTTTTTCAGCCTGTCCTCAACGCTCTCAGAACCGTAGAGGTTACAAATAGAGACGTACAACTGCAGAGTAAAGTGTCTTCATGTACTGTATGTACAATAGCAGCTCTGAGAACATATAAATACTTTGTCTTTATATGTTAAATTTATATATACATTTTAACTGCTAGCTAATTGTCTACTAGTCTCGTAATCATAAGTTATCTTTCAACTGTCAACAAAATTCATGTTCGCTGGACAAAAAGTCTTAGATGCACTTAGAAAAGCAAGCTGAAACGAGATGTAAAATGACGAAAAACTGTTCGCGGTTTTGTTTGTGACATTTTTCCCATTTATGAATATAAATGATGTACAGTTACATACTGGGGATGTGATTTAACAAATCCCATTTACCATAGTCATGAAGAAAAATTAAGGGAAAATGAAGAAAAATACAGAAACATTGTCTACATTTTTGTGTGCTTTTTTACACCTTAAAAAAGCAAATAAATCAAGAAAAAATAATTTTTTATCATTCAGGGGGGTATCTGCAGGATTTATAAGCTCAAATTAAGACTTTTAAAGACTTTTTTAAGACCTGCACAAATAAAATTAATACCATATGAGCGGGGTAGAGCAATGTCTATGGTAGCATATTAACTGTAAAAAGCATGATTTACAGTTCAGATACAGGTTTTCACAAAAACAAAAAGTATTATAACATGTTGAAGTTCACATTTCAGCCTTTAAACCATTTTTTAAGAAAATGGATTCAAAAGTAGTCAAAAGTATCAATTATTATATTCATTAAAAATATTATCAATCAATCAATTATTATATTATATTATATTATATTATATTACATAACTGTTTCACTGGCTTAATTGTTTAGATTTTTATAATGCATTATCTTCTTATTGATTCACCAGTTAACATTTACAACTCTGTGTGTGTGCAGCGTAAAAACATTGGTTGATTTTTGCAGAGGTCAGAACAAAAACAGCAGAAGGGCTTACTAAAAAAGCACATTCTTTCTCTGCCAGTAGGTGGCGCTTTTGGTATGGCAAAAATATAGCGTTTTTCCTGGTAACAGCAGTGCACAAAGCAGAGCAGCACCTGACTTTGAATTGTGCAGCGCTCATGTTTATTTAATTAGATCACAGTCTTTTGAAGTTTAATCGTCACTTTAGACAGCTAAGTAAACGTGTGTGTGTGTGTGTGTGTAAAATAGTATATCAGTCTGGCGAGTAAACAAAAAAATTTACTAGCCAATGGCGATTATATTGCCAAGGTGTGCGTAGAGGGTTGTCACATTAAGCCATATCGCAATTCTTATCTTTCCATTCCCAAATTTGAGACCTCTTGAAGTCATAATTAAGACATAATTAAGTCTTGTACAATTTAATACTTTTTATGGCCTTAAATTTGATACAACTAAATTTTTTAAAGACTTTTAAGGACCCGCGGAACCCTATTTAATTGAGCTGAAAGCTGAAATATGCAACTTATGAGGATGATTATCATTGGGGACTGAAATTAGACAATTAAAAAAGCAGTGTCTATCACAGCTGTAAGAAAATTCTACTCACTGTTTGTACGTCACCATGACGATGAGAATAGCTGGGATGCAGCACAGAATGATGATGATGGCCAGTGCCAGCAGAGCCCCCTCTGTGTAGCCCACCGCCTGCGCAGCCTTCTTCACACTCGCCACGATGTCAGGAGAACGGATCTCCAGAATCCGCCCGCCCTCGCCCAGGTAAGGCTGGAACTCTTTATTGATGTCCAGAATCTTGCCATCCAGAAACCTGTAAAACACACATTTAGCAGACATATTAGAAAATCATTTAAATTTAGATCTTTTCCTTACACAAATATGTACCTGTATAGTAAGCACATCATAATCACAAAAAACTTTCATATAAAAACCCCACAAAGTATGGATTAATAATGTGAGAATAATAATACAACAACTGTATTGATGCAACTGAAATGTACTGAAAAACATATTTGTAATAATATTAAAAATAATAAAATAAAAAATATGTGTGTGTGTGTGTTTATATATGTATATACAAACACACAGTCCGGGGAGTGAATTTCAAGGGGGGGATGGCGTTCCACTTCCAACTGCTTAGGTTCTTTTGGAAATGAAAGTGATTTCTATATTTTTTTCCCATTTAATAGCCTACGAAAGCAATCACAGTTCTGCACATAAACGAAGTGCAATATATAAAAAAATGTAGCGTGATATTTGTGTCTATGGTTTGCCGTGCAATGCCGTCTTTTGTGATTGGCCATAATACATGCACACTGCAGCCAATGGAAATGCTTCTGTATCGGTGCGTGTCCTGCTCCTCACAGAACAGATCATGAAGGCAGACTGCAGATTTTGTTCAGTGCTGAGTCATTCAAGCTCAGATCCTCTCATTATAACAAACAAAGTGTAGACACGATGTGAATAATAGATTCAGTGTGCAGTGTAGAGAGATTCATTAATTATAATGGAAGTTTGAGAGATCATGATGAACTAAGACGAGTGACAGCTCTTTAATGATTATAAAGGGAGTTTGAAAAATGTGACTTCATTTGACTGGTAACTTATTCTTCCTCATTGTATTGTATCATTTTAATTGAATTTATTGTTTAATTAAAATTTTTGATAAGTTTATAAATATACATTTTTTGACACAAAAGATGGCACATTTAATAAAGTTAGAAAAAAAAAACCATTACAATGGTAAAAAAATGCCCCGGGAAATCACTTTAAGGAGTCAAATATCGCCTCATAATGGGAAGGTTAATTTCTGTTATTGATCAGAAGGTACGGTGGCCGAGAGAGCTCAACGCGCTGCAACTTCAGAAAACACAAGCAAATAGAAAAAGCACCAGCAAATTAAGAAAACATCTTCATCAGTTTGACAGCACATGTGCTGCAAATACTCACAACACAATCAAATACAAAAACATGCTGCAAATGCTCACAACACAAACAAATAAAGAAACGCGCTGCAAATACTCACAACACAAACAAAGAAACGCGCTGCAAAGGCTCACAACACAACCAAATAAAGAAATGCGCTGCAAATGCTTTATTTGGTTGTGTTGTGAGTATTTGCAGTGCGTTTCTTTATTTGGTTGTGTTGTGAGTATTTGCAGCGCGTTTCTGTTTTTGGTTGTGTTGCTTTTGCATTTGCAGCGCATGTGTTGTCAATTTGATGAAGATGTTTTCTTAATTTGCAGGTGTTTTTTTCTATTTGCATGTGTTTATTTGGTAGTGTTGTGAGTATTTGCAGCGTTTTTCTTTATTTGGTTGTGTTGTGAGTATTTGCAGCACGTTTCTTTATTTGGTTGTGTTGTGAGTATTTGTAGCGCGTTTCTTTATTTGGTTGTGTTGTGAGCATTTGCAGCGCGTCTCTGTTTTTGCAGCGCATTTCTTTATTTGTTTGTGGGTTGAGTATTTGCAGCGCGTTTCTTTATTTGGTTGTGTTGTGAGCATTTACAGCGCGTGTGTTGTCAAATTGATGAAGATGTTTTCTTAATTTGAAGGTGTTTTTTTCTATTTGCATGTGTTTATTTGGTTGTGTTGTGAGTATTTGCAGCGTGTTTCTTTATTTGGCTGTGTTGTGAACATTTGCAGCGCGTTTCTGTTTTTGCAGTGCGTTTCTTTATTTGGTTGTGTTGTGAGTATTTGCAGCGCGTTTCTTTATTTGGTTGTGTTGTGAGCATTTGCAGCACGTCTCTGTTTTTGCAGCGCGCGCATTTCTTTGTTTGTGGGTTGAGTATTTGCAGCGCGTTTCTTTATTTGGTTGTGTTGTGAGCATTTGCAGCGCGTGTGTTGTCAAATTGATGAAGATGTTTTCTTAATTTGCAGGTGTTTTTTTCTATTTGCATGTGTTTAAGAAAGTGTAAAAAAGTGTTTAAGAAATTTTTTTTAAGTAGGAGCACAAGAGCTCCTTAAAAGATATGTAAGCGTCAAATCCTGAAGAATGTAATTTTACCTTTTAAAAACTAATCGCCAATTCTTATGCAAAGTGTAAACTATTAAATATAATCTACAAATCATGCAATACTGTACCACTAAATCAGAAGTGTTTTTATGGAGGCCTTAGCTAATCGGGTCAATCAGAGACAATTACTAATCATTCTCATTTTTATTAAATCATTCTTTAATTTCATTAATCAATATTTTTGAAATAAGTTTAATGTTATTATAGATTACAAAGGGTTTTATAATTAAAGGGTTAGTTCACCCCAAAATGGAAATTATGTCATTGATTACTCACCCTCATGTCATTCCAAACCCCTAAGACCTTCGTTCATCTTCGGAACACAAATTAAGTTATTTTTGATGTATACCAAAATTATATTATATATTTAAATGTGAGAGCTCTCAGACCCTGCATAGACAGCAACGCAACTGTAATGTTCCCAGGTCCAGAAACGTAGTAAGGACATTGGTAAAACAATCCATGTGACATCAGTGGCTCAACTTCAGTTTTGCGAAGCTACGAGAATACTTTTTGAGCGCAAAGAAAACAAAAATAATATAATTGATTTAACAATTCTTCTCCCCCGAGTTACGTCTTCCGCCATTTTAGAG